GGTCAACCCACCACAGCTTCCCAGCACCCATCTTCTGCCTTTGAAACGTTGAAAAGGACCATTTAATAGGCGATATTCCACCCAGACCCACAGCAGCAGCGAACTCCTGCCTATGTCCTGTCCCAGACTTTAAACTATGCAAGCTCCTGGCTTGCTCTTTCCTTAGCAGGCACATCCGCAGTCGGAGCTGGGCCTTCCCTCAACATTTCCTACCGCACGCCCCAGTAATCCCAAGTTCATTCCTTCTACTCCCTCTCTCCTTCAGGTTTGCCATTTTTACCTTCCCAGCACCAAGACTCCCTTAACTTCTTTTACTGTAGGGACATAATCCAGGCTTAATCTCCCCCACCTGCGAAGCCTGCTGTGGCTTGCCACATTCCTGGGTACATCAGCAGCAACGATTCCTCATCAGCACCCTTAAGCAGAGGAACTGCTGCCCAACCCTGGAGGGAAAATACCACTTGCCACAGAATAAAGGTTTCTGAGGAAAAAACCCGGTAGTAACTCAGTGGGCAAGAACACTGGCACGAGTTATTGATGGTGACACAATTCCACAAGCAGCCTGGGAGGGAGCTGTAGAAGAAGGTGGTAAGAATTAGCAACATAATTTTAATGCCTCAAACATTAAAGGTTTTCCTACTGAGTTATCTGAAGGCTAAACTTATGGGTAACATGGGGTTAAGTCTGGAGACTGGTTGGCAGAACGGATGAATGGGGAGAATCTCTGGCCGTTTGGAAGACAGCATCAGGAAAAGGGACACTGGGAGTCCTGGTGGGGGACAAGGTGGCCATGAGCCAGCAGGGTGCCCTTGGTGCCAAGAAGGCCAAGGGCATCCTGGGGTGCATCAAGAGGAGCGTGGCCAGCAAGGTGAGGGAGGTTCTCCTCCCACTCTGCTCTGCCCCAATGAGACCCCACCTGGAGCTCTGTGTCCAGTTCTGGGCTCCCCGGTTCAAGAAGGATGAGGAACTCCTGGAGAGAGTCCAGAGGAGGGCAACAAGGCTGATGGGGGGACTGGAGCATCTCCCCGACGAGGAAAGGCTGAGGGAGCTGGGCTGGTTCAGCCTGGAGAAGAGAAGGCTGAGAGGGGATCTCATCACCACCTACAAATATCTCCAGGGTGGGGGGCACGAGGACAGAGCCAGACTCTTCCCAGTGGTGCCCAGCGCCAGGCCAAGGGGCCATGGGCACAACCTGAAGCACAAGAGGTTCCAGTTGAACGGGAGGAAGAACTTGTTGACTGTGAGGGTG